AGGAAATAAATGAACAAGAGCATCGAAAAATCAAAAATGAATCTTCCATTAAGGGTAGAGACCAAATCCAGAAACTTGTCTGAAAAATATGTTTTATCTTAATTATCTCATGATACAATATTACCTCCAAGGTGGAGGCATTTTTACCCTATATGCATTGTTTAATAAAAAATTTATAAAGGTCTACTAGAAAATGTTATTTTCCAAAAATAAAGGCATAGCATTTATCCACAATAGATAACATGTGCTTACCTTCACCTTAAACTACATAAAAAGTAACCTCAGTGACAGTGCCAACTTTTACATGAGGGTCATGATTAATACAACTTTAAAGAAGTCTACAAATTGATGCTATAAAAAATATGCAAAATATCTAAGATTTGTGCATTGTATTTGCACTGTGTGTACGTAAAATCACGTGATTCTGGCGCCAAGAGATTTTGACTCCAGAAGTATATCACTTTTTTCAGACGCTCAGAAGGTTTTGCTGCACGCTAAATATCTCGGCATTCTATATAGATATACAGGCAGGCATACAGACAGATTGGTTTTTTTAAAAGAAGATTTAAGTTTTTACTATACCTATATATTTAAAAAATATGACACCCCTGGGGCGGGGCCAGTTTTGATCCCAGGGCTTTAATTTGAACAAACTTTGTAGACACTTACTAGAAGATGTTTCATGCTTAATATCTAAACTCTAGCTATTTGGGTTTTTTCAAAGAAGATTTTTAAGTTTTTGCTATACACTTATAAGGAAAATCAATGACACCCGGAGCGGAGCCAGTTTTGACCCCAGGGCTTTTATTTGAACAAACTTTGTAGACACTCAATAGAAAATATTTCATGCTTAATATCTAAACTCCAGCTATTTGGGTTATTTCAAAAATGATTTTTTAAGTTTTTGCTATACACATTTAAGGAAAATCAATGACCCCCTGGGCGGGGCCAATTTTGACCCCAGGGCTTGTATTTGAACAAACTTCGTAGACACCCATTAAAACATGTTTCATGCTAAATTTCTTAGCTCTAGCTCTTTGAGTTTTTTAAAAGAAATTTTTTTAAGTTTTTACTATATTCATATAGGGAAAATCAATGACCCCCTGGGGCGTGGCCAATTTTGACCCTAGGGCTTTTATTTGAACAAACTTTGTAGACACTCACTAGAAGATGTTTCATGCTTAATATCTCAACTCTAGCTATCTGGGTTTTTTCAAAGAAGATTTTTAAGTTTTTGCAATACACATATAAGGAAAATCAATGACACCCGTGGCGGGGCCAATTTTGACCCCACGGCTTTTATTTGAACAAACTTTGTAGACACCAACTAGAAGATGTTTCATGCTTAATATCTAAACTCCAGCTATTTGGTTTTTTTTTCAAAAAAGAATTTTTAAAGTTTTGCTATACACATATAAGGAAAATCAATGACCCAACGGGGCGGGGCAAATTTTGACCCCAGGGCTTTTATTTGAACAAACTTGGTAGACACTCATGAGAACATGTTTCATGCTAAATATCTTAGCTCTAGCTCTTTGAGTTCTTTAAAAGAATTTTTTTAAGTTTTTACAATATGCATATAGGGAAAATCAAAGACACCCTGGGGCGGGGCCAATTTTGACCCGAGGGCATTTATTTGAACAAACTTGGTAAACACTCACTAGAAGATGTTTCATGCTAAATATCTTATCTCTAGATATTTGGGTTTTTTCAAAGAAGATTTTTAAGTTTTTGCTATACACATATAAGGAAAATCAATGACCCCTCGGGGCAGGGCCAATTCTGACCCCAGGGCTTTTATTTGACCAAACTTGGTAGACACCCATTAGAACATGTTTCATGCTAAATATCTTAGCTCTAGCTCTTTGAGTTCTTTAAAAGAAGATTTTTAAGTTTTTACTATATGCATATAGGGAAAATCAATGACCCCCTTGGGCGGGGCCAATTTTGACCCTAGGGCTTTTATTTGAACATACTTGGTAGACACTCATTACAAAATGTTTCATGCTAAATATCTTAGCTCTAGCTCTTTGGGTTCTTTTAAAGAAGATTTTTTAAATTTTTACTATATGCATATAGGGAAAATCAAAGACCCCCTTGGCGGGGCCAATTTTGATCCCAGGGCTTTTATTTGAACAAACTTGGTAGACACTCATTAGAACATGTTTCATGCTAAATATCTTAGCACTAGCTCTTTGAGTTCTTTAAAAGAAGATTTTTTTTAAGTTTTTCCTATTAGTTGCCATGGCAACCAGAGTTTTTAATGGAATTTAAATTTTTGAATAACTTTGAAAGGGGTCCTCCTTAGGATCATTTCTGTAAAGTTTGGTTGCAATTGGCCATGTGGTATAGGAGGAGATGTTGTTTGAAAAGTTTGACGCCATTTTTTGAAAGACGCACGACGCACGACGGACGCAGAATGATGACAAAAGCTCACCCTTGAGCACTTTGTGCTCAGGTGAGCTAAAAACAGACATTGCATATGGCATTGTCACAATTAGTATGTAGATTATTGACGTAAAATGCAGGTTAAATTTTGTCTATCTAAATGTACATCTAGACCTTGGTAAACGTGGACTAGATTGAATGTCTGAATTAACCTTTAGTAAAAGACAATCAACTAAGCTACGTTTCAATATTTGGACAAACTTCCGGACTGTATTATAAACGGTTAAGCCGTACATCTCTGGATCCATATTCATTTAAAACACTAGGAACGTTAGCTGCGCAAGGGCAATAACCACTTTAATGAAAACTATTTGAGTACAGTTCAGTTGTTTTTTTAAAAAAAAGAGTTATAAGAATTAATATCATTCAACCAGTATCTTATTAGTTCAACATATCTGAGTATAAAGAGGATATCGGCCTAACTCCGAATAATTGTCGCAATACTTGCACTTTTCTTAACTGACTTGCAATATTTCAAATGTATCCTTTCTATATTTCTATATAAAGGAAAAAATCTATTCTTTATTTCAGTTTTATTTCAGACTTTTATCAGTTCTTGCCGGCATACACATGACTAGTGTTTTTTATCATCAATTCACTTTCTTTTGATGTAAACATAAGGAGAAAATGGCAGAAGGATGTACGACGGAAAGCGACAAAAAGGTTGTATTCTTGAACAATTTCTACAATGTAACTCTCTATAACTGATTTGTTTGCTAGTTCCTTCATTTTTTTGGAGAAATACTATGCAATCAAAGCAATCAAATGCAATCTCAATTTGTTGATTCTAATTTCATTAGTTTATAATTATAATATTTTGCGTACCAATATGAGTAGATGCATGTTTCCTTTATAAATAATTATTGAAATGCAGTCTTTTGTGAATAACTTTTCGAAAATAAAGTATCATTGTTTTGCTTTGGTAATAATGTCCATCTCGTTGTTTCATAAGCAATGTTTGTTTTTTAAAAAGTATATCAAAGTTGAAAGAATTTGATTCCATGCAGAAATCCTGTTGGCATGGCGATCACAAGGATTTTTTTAAATTATCTACAAGAACCACCATGCCTATAACATTAATATTTTACATAAGGCATTGTCTTGTGGATCTCTACCAAGTTCGTTTTCATCATGGGCCAGGAGTAAAAGTTGCCCCGTCACGGGATTAATGTGTTTTCCTACTAGTCTAGCGAACATCTACAAAGCATTAAAAAGTGTCTAGGCTACAAATATTGTTCAAATGTAAGTAATTGGGTGGAAATTGACTTCACCACGGGAGGCATGGGCTCTCCCTTTATACATGCATTATATATTCTTAAAATCTTGTACTGAAAATGAATGGCAAGATATATTTGACATAAATCAATTTCTAGTTGACACTGAAAATAGTTTTTTTAGTAATGAGGTCAATATTGGCTTCTCCCTGGAGTCATGTCTTCTCTCTTAATACATGTAATAGATATTTTATTAAAATATTTTGAATAATTAAAGGCAACCGCTTATATATTTGACATGAATCATTGTCTACAAAGTTTTATCAAATTGCTGTCTGCAATAAGTTTTCTCCCTTTATGCTTAATTTGTTTATTATTTGACATACAGCTATAAAATCTGACCCAAAAGCATGGTTTCAGTTATTAAATTGAACTCTTATAACAGGTAGTATACAACTTGACCTAATGACATACTTTTTAAGATAAAGCTATAAAATTTGGCCATTTGTAAGTTTATGATAAAGAATAGATGGCTTACTATTTTAATGTTGTATTATTTGGTAGCATGGCAATATTTTCACAAGTGCAATTTTCCTCTCTATATTTGCTTTATTTTCTATTTTCTATAATTGTATGCTCATAATATTTTGTGCTTCTAAATTTCCATTTCAATTTGTTAACATTATTTTTTATATTCCTTTTTTTTAATTTCATTACGTACTCCTCTTTATAAATGAAATAAATACATGTCATTTTCTTTATTAATTTACATTTAAAAAAAAATACCAATCAACCCCCACTGGTAACTACGATAACGAAATATTTATTATTAGAATCTATTGATCAATAAATAACACATTTTTTATATCTGTTTTTTTTTTCAAATTTCTAAAGTCCGTCAGTATTTATCGCTTTCTCTAGATGTTTGAAATTTTCTCTTAATTTTACACACTTGCATATAAGCCCGTGTACAAAAATATTCTACCCCGTGCCATTTTTTCAGAAAACGTTCAAATAAGATGAAACACCTCAAACATTCAAAAATAATAATAGTTGATTCGAAAATCTTAATGTATTTATACAACACTGACACGGAGACCCTGTCTTTCCCGCTTTGAAGTCACGTGACAACATAGCGTTTTGTGAGTGTTTCAGTCATGCTAATTTTCGCATTGTTATCAATCTTTGTTATGTTAACAAATGCTCAAGTTCTAAGTAGAAATTTTCATGAATCGGTTGTACCATTTTAAAGATAAAATACGTTGTGAAAAATTTCAATTATTAGATTTTGCACTTTTTTGCAATTAAGAAGATGGACACTTTAATCCGAGTAGCGTGTCGTTAGTAGGCGCAGAATATTAAAATGTTTTTTCGAGTTCAAATCAGCAAGTATGCACATTTTGAGTATGTTTTTTACTTCAGAATATACAATGTATATTCATAGTTTGTCGCGTAAGTTTTTGTTTTCTTTTTTGAAATTGAAATGTATTTATTGTTTAGCAGAATTTAAAGTTAAACGATTAAGCACAATTGCCTTTATTTGACTATTTTAAGGTATTGAACAGATTGAAAAGTATTATTAATTTTAGTCTGTTTGCAACTGTGGATTCTATCTGCCACATAGTTAGTTTAAAAATATTACAAAAAAAGAAGATAGAACAAAAGAAAGAAAGAAGAAAAATGAATAAAAAATTACAACTCAATTTAGATAGTTACAGAGTTTCAACTTATATTGTATAAAACCATAATCATATTGTTAGTCATGTACGGTAGTGATATGTTTAAGAAATATCGAAAATTAATACAAACTGTCGGCGTAGCAATGTTGATAAAGATGAATAAATCAGATTGTAATGCAACAGTCCGAGCTGTATTTTTTATTATTATTTTTATTTTATTTTTTTCGCACACAAATTATTTGTTTTGTATTTTGTATTTTTTGTATGAATTATAAAAGCCTTTCATATCTTATACAATTTTCTTATCATAAAAATAATCTTGTTTCTTATTTGTTAAAAGAATATTTATTTAATTGCAATACATTTAATTTCATCTTGAAAATCACCATATGACTGTAGCAAGAAAACATATGTTTATGCTTTGCCTTACTCTTTTCAAAATACTTTTAGGAAATTCAGAGACAAAAAGTCCGGCATACAAACAAACACGTTGTAGTTATAAAATAAGTAAAATTCATTTTGAATGTTTGTATATAACAGAGCTACCTATAGAAAATATTAATGTGCACCTTTTGATTTTGTTGTTATATAAATTCTTATAAATATTCATATACTTAGGCCACATTGTACGTTTTATTTTTTATTTATTTGTTTCAGAAAAAAACAGTGTTTATTTATCTACACACAGATGACTTAGAAAAAGTCATGAAAAAATTAACAAAAAAAATTAAAGTGAAACATGAAAACATTGCTTCGAACGATGGTTCATTAGAACACAAAAATAGGACAATCATCGCGGTCAGACACGGGTCAACTCGTATAGATTCAGATATACAAGGATGTTGCAGAGATATAACAGGTTTGCTTACAATACTATTTTCATAAAGATTATGATAATTTAAAATCACTTAATACAATTGTTACTATATATTGTAACGAAATCGCCTATGATTTCAACTGATATGAGTGTCACTTGACTTATTATGAGTTTGCGGCCCGGGGCCGAGAACTAGATATCAGACCGCTGAACATGTGCACGTGCACAAACTGAAACAATGACGTCACATATTACGTCATCAAACAGTTAACTGTAAATGAGAAAGTAGGTTTTAAGCATAACATAAATCGTTTTATTTTTTATTAGAGCTGAAGCGTATTTCGTACACATAAATTTATTACTATTGAAATTTAAAGAAATAATACGACAAATTCATTCCGAAAAAAAAAGGAAATAAAACTTGCTTCTAGATTCTACAGTAGTGTACTTTGAACATACAAAAAGTAAACAACTCTGTAGAAGTTACTGTATTGTACAGTACAGTAGAAATGCAGACAGGATTTTCAAGGAAAGAAATTTCAAAGTATTATTTTTTAGAAAAATGGTAGATCTATTAGATCTACCAAGTGTATAAAAGACATTTCTACACGTCTTTGTTGTTCCAGAAGGTGAAAATCGGCCCTGAAACGAATAATGCTGAAGCCCTCGGGTCCATTAATCGTTTTGCGGGCCGATTATCACCTTCCGGCCCTACTCTGTCGTGTATTAATATCTTATTAATATAAAGCACAAAAGAAGGTCACAGATATTTTTAAGGTTGCCATGCAAAACACATGAAACAGATTGATTGACAATTACTTTTATAGGGAGATCATTAAATTTGCTATCCAGTGGTCGCTGGTACAAACCTCGGGTAAGATGAATTAGTCTCGGACATTGAATGTAATGGTAATTTGTTAATCACTGTTGATTTATAGATTATGTGATATAAATAGCGGCCACTTGTTGAGAAACTGATACATAAAAGATAGTAATATAGACTAAACTGAAAAGCAATATGACAAACAAACCAAACAAACCAACTCTGACAAGGACAACAGGCAGACTAACTATTTAACTCATAAAATATTTCCTGAGGAAGCAAATATTTTTTTAACACCAGATATCTAAGATGTCTGGCTACTAGTAGATATAATTACAACTTCGATCTTAACCGTACGAAGTCAAAACCAAAGCTAACCAAAAATATAGTTCTTAAAATAATTTATGCCCAAGGAATTTTACAGAAATCATAAAAAGTCCTTCGTACCAGATATATGAGATTTATGTGTACCGGTAAGTATTTATGACTTCTTTTGCACTCTCAAACGGACAGTCCCAGACTGAATGTTCACGCATTACACTCTCTATTTATATGCTTTCGAAGCATCATCTCCGCAGTGAATAAAACAATAATTTTGATTAGCTAAAATAATAAAACGTTTCTTGAAACTGATTTTAACTTAACCTTATGAGCGTCTATTAAAAGAATTGACTTCTCTTACAAACTATTTTGAGTAACAGATAAACAATTTCAAATATAAACACTTTGATGAATACCCTAAACTTATACACATTTGATAGTAAATACCTTAAATACATACTCTTTATATCATGTCAAACTTAATAGATTACTTTATTTATTGTTTTATTACAAATGGCGAACTTATTGAAGGGGGGGGGCGCAATCAAATTGTCTATAAAGTACGTTTCCCTAACATATGTACATGCAATATAGAACCATTTGTTAAAAGTACAAATGATAATTATTTTTTTTAATTGATGTTTATTTATTTGGAGAGATAAGCTAATCAATATAATGTATGTGTTTTGATTCCTTTTCAGAATCGGATATCAAACGTACTGTTGTTGTTATCGTTTGTGGATTTGAATATAATAAAAAGGATTCCCATGGTATTGAAATAAGTCCCAAGAGCTTTAAGGCGGAACATGAAGATGATATTAAAATGGAGAATCTTAAAAGCATTGTACAAATTAACTATAAATGTTTAAAAAAGAAGAAACGAAAGAGGTGCGAAAACTGTAACACTGCGCTAGACATTCTAAAAATGCATGCAGAATCATCAAACGACAACTAAATGTTCAAATGATAATATGAAAGCACTTAATAGTGTATACATTCATAGTTCATGTTATAATCCCTAGCTACTAAGGAATACGAACGGCAAATTCAGTGCTGGTCATATTCCACGGAATTCTGTATCCTTTATATATTAATTGCAAATGGAATCAAAGATAATGTTGATGGAATCGAAATAGTTTATGAATTGAATTTGGATATATTTGTTATAGATTTTTGTTTCTCTCTTTTTTACAAGACATGTTATATGCGTTGTCGGACTATAGCTGTTGTTAAATTGAATTTTGATTTATATTATGACTTATTTTGCCGCGTAATGTATAAATGCTTAACTACATGATTCTAACTTTTACTTTGATTACATTTGTGATATAACTGTAATTGACACGTTTGATAAAGTATTAAAGTGTGTGCTTAACTGGTTAAAGCGGTTTAACAGTATTTAAATAAATAACAACAGTCTAGCAGTATAAAAATGAAAAATGAAATGTGTTCGTTCAGTCGGCTTACTTTCATGCATCAGCACACTGATTGTTCTTCAAAGTGTATGTATATTAAAAATTAATGATGGTTCACTTAACATGTATATGTTTGCAGTTGATAAAAAATTGATGGTTTTGTATGTTTGCACATGAAACTTTACTATTTATTCATAGCATATTTTGTTCTCAAAGATTGTTTGTCTTAAATAAGTTTGAATGCAAATGATTTAGTATTTAATAGGACTTCCATTTAATTATGCAGTGTTCATCTTTGACTTATTTAATTATTACCATTAATTGACCTATTGTAGCTTAAACATTGTCATATAGTCGAATAAAAGATTGTATTATTAACCTTTTACCTCATATGTACGCAAAACAATGCACTTTCGATAAATGCCCCCCCCCCCTTTTTTTAGGCTTCAAATATTGGAAAAATGTCATATTTGGGCATCAAACATTTTATTTCGTTTGAGAAATGTTGTTATAAAAATGATCACTTTTATCGTCGCCGCCCTTACAAGAAAGATACATCAGGGGTGCCAAGAATGTTTTGACCTATGAGAGACTAAAATTGGCCTTAGATCGATCTTAAAGTAACGTGTAATCAACGCTTATAAGCTTTTGACTCTATCTCAATCCAATGAGAAGTTGCAGCACTTTAAAATCTGGATTGAAAATATCAACGCAAAATAGTGATTTTTTGGGGGAAAATTGTATTTTCATAGCAATCTTAACTTGTATCAGGAGAATTTCTAATGAAAAAAGCCATTTTTCACAAAATGCTCATGCTGTAATGGGCTGAAGGAATTCTGATTTAGCCTTGAACTTGACACATTAAATACAAAGATTAATTCTTTGATTAACGTTCTGTAGGTTTTGCAACATAGGCTTTTGAAAAGTCGGAAACGCTCAAAATCGCAGAATGGAAACTGTTTGAACATGTTCGTGGATGTAAGTGGGTGTGTATGTTACCGTCAACGCTCTATAGCAAGCACCATAGCAGGATTAATTTAACCACCCAACTAAAATTAAGTAAAATAAAAGGAACTTAAATACCACAGTAACAACAATGTCATGTATAAAAATCTCGAAAGGATTGAAAATACGAGGTCCCTAGTTAAATGTACGGGCGATTTTTGGCGGCCTCATTACGGTTCACATAATGTGACAATAATCTTGAATAAGTCTTAATAAGTCTTGCTGTGATTAATTTTCCGAGGGATCACTTTGTTTCCAGATTTTTAATTCTTAAAAACGCTCGTAACGGAAAAATTTGCTCCATTATAAACAAAAATAGGCAAGATAAGAATTACGTCATTACTTCAGTTACTATGTGGATAAGTTATTTCAAAGTTAAAGACTTACATGGATATATTGCTGACAACAGGCAAGTAATATACCGGTAGACTGTTGAACATAAGAAAGATTCCAAAATTATTGTTAAAATGTAAATTTTATAATGCAAAGTTTATTGTTTTGTGATGTAATTATACCCATGCATTTTTATGCGCATGTATATTCAACTTCATGCATATTGTATGAAATTACACACTATTTTTATATTTGTCCTTAAAGAAAATGTAGTCATGTTTTGTATCAAAATGATCATCTGTTCATAAAGATTTTTGTTAGAAGCATAAATTACGGTAAATTACAAGTTGATTTCAATAAGGATTTTTTTTTCTTAAAAATTGTTTATAAACTTCAAAACATTTCTCATGTAATGAAAACACCTCTAAGCAAAACTTTTAATTACAATGTAGTAGCGTATGGTACTTGTATGTGAGTTTACGGAAGTGAACAAAAATGTTCCGAGCCAACCGTAACTAGTGTGTTTGATTTAACAATTGGGCGTCATATAAGTGTAGAAAATAACTACATTATGCAATTCTTAGTTTGGCTACGATCCAGATGTGGAAGGTAAGCCGATTGTTTGTATTGTCAATTCCTTTATAATCAATCGCGGCAGTTCTACATTTGCTTGCAGTGTTTGGTTTTCAAATTTGGATGCCAACTCCGCATATTTCCAGTTGAACATCAGGGAAGGCTTTGGTTTGTTAGGTACCCTAGCCACATTTTCCAGAGCAATGGATTTTGTTATCAAAGGCTTGATGTGGAAGACAGTCCTGGCATTTCTAGATGATATCATCGCAATTTTGGATATCATCGCAATTTTGAAGGCATAAGCTAAATCTTATACCGAAATAATGTATCTCCTTCCAACAAGATATAGAGATCTTAGGCCGTAAAGTCGGCAAGGACAGCATTGTTTTGACAGAACATGACATAGCAATGGTGACGTATTGGTCCGGACAGTGCCAAGCAGGTAGAGAGGTTTATGGGGTTGGTTTACTATCATAGAGTGTTTGTACAGGCCGTCTTTATGGTAGCGGCCCCATTGTATGCCGTCTCAGGCAACAAGTGTCGTAGATTTACATTATACTTTCCCGCGCCACTTTTTACGTAAATGGCGCATTGTGATACGTTGACGTATCATTGTTGTTGTTTGACATACATACTTGTAGTAAACTGAGAAAAGAAGACACAACGCTGTAGTACTTTATAAACGAATATACGATATTGGTGCCGTGACTCTAAAAAGATTAACTTACAGAAGGTGATTTGAGTACGTAGTAGAGGCATGATTTTGAAGCTTTTTGGCAAAATCGAAGGAGAAATCAGACAAAATAGTATTCAACGCTATTGTGGAAGCCCTCGAATCGAATCATATATCTTAGATGCACTCGACGAGAAGATTCTTTCTCAAAGTGGAGTCTAGGATGTCGAAGAAGAACTCGATACCACAGAAGAATATAAGCTAGAACTCGAAATTCAGTTACGGAAACTTAGAGCTTGTCGTCAAATGAACTCACAGACAGACGGTCGTACGAGTGAAATTACCGAGAATCATGATGTAAATAGTCATATAAGAGCGGACGATATGCGGGAGATAGACAGGAAGTCCTGTCAAGGTTCAACTCCCGGAAAGAAATATTTACTTTGCTGGTTCACAGAACAGTGTAGGAAACAATCATTCCTTTACGTCGGCAAGTTCACAGTATCATAGGTTACCTAAACTTTCATTACCGAAAATTAATGGTGAAATTTTTCAGCTGGAACACATTTTGGGACTCGTTTGCGTCAACTGTTCATTTTAATTGTAACTTAACGGATTTATAAAAAATTTCATATTTGAAGGTGAAGCGGATCTGACTATTGATGGTTTTGCACTAACAAATACAAACTATGCACGTGCGACACAACTTTTGATAGAGAGATATGGCCAAAAGCATAAAATAATACATGCAACAATGTAAGCATTGCTTCAATTGCCAGCCCCAAAAAGTACTTTTCATTTTATTTGGGAATTCTTTGATAAAATGGAGACATATATTTGTGCACTGGAGTGTTTGGGCCAGCAACAAAAATCTTACGGCGATTATCTCGTGCCCATTGTGCTAGACAAACTTTCGGAAGAAATAAGAAAAAATCTCGCGAGAGGACACGGAAGTAATCAGATGTAACATTTTGATTAAGCAACAGTGTATCTTGTTTCAGACAGAAAATACCACTGAAAGTACTGATTGTCCCGACTAAAGCGACACCTATAGATAACACACATAGCTCTGACATTTCAGGTTTGCCTTACCTTAAAGGATTAAAATCGGTACATCCAATAACGCATGACAAAGAATTCGCTATTTCCTTGCTAATCGGAGCCGACTTTTACTGGGATATTGTTGAGTACGAGATTATACGTGGCAGAGGGCATACTGCCGTTAAGTCGATAATCGGATACCTTCTGTCTAGACCGATCAATTCATTTAAAGGTAGCAGAAGTGTTGAACAGATATTGAACGTAATGGTGTCTCACAAACCAGAAGACATATCGATAGAACGTTTCTGGAGTCTAGAAAATCTAGGAATTACACCAAACGACACAGACCGGAAGTAAGAAGACGAAAGACACCAGTATCAGCTCAAGTCAATAGAATTCAAAGATGGATAATATACTTCACGGTTACCATGGATAAATGACAACCCGGAACTACCTACAAATTATGATATTGTCCTAAAACGCACTGAAAAAGTTCAGTCCGAAGATTGAACAGAGAAACCGATATGCTAAGAAAATATGGAGATATCATTGCAGAACAAGAGAGACGAGGGTTCATTGGAAAAAATCAAGAGAAAGAGATCCAGATGCAAAAACCCACCCATTACATTCACCATCACTCTATTTAGAACATTTCCTCAACTACGCCTATAAGAATTGTTTACAACTGTAGCTGCCGTAAAACGCAACACCATGCCAGCCTGAATGATTGCCTACAGTCTACTTCCCCAGTTTTAAATAGACTTACCTTAATTCTGCTGAGATTTCGTATGCATGCGTATGCTGTTACAACAGATATTGAAAAGGCGTTTTTGCAGGTGGGATAACATACAGATGACCGAGATATGACAAGATTTCTATGCCTGAAAAATCCGAATGACCCCAACAGTGACTTTTCAAATTATCCTTTTAAAGTTGTGCTTTTTGGTGCAACTTGTTCACCATTCATACTCAACGCAACGATACTAAAGCATTTAGACAAAAATCCACATAGGACCGTATCAGAAATATAACGACGAGATTTTCTACGTCGATAACGTCATATCCAGTTTCAAAGAAGAAGAAGAATGCCTCAATTACTTAAAAGAAGCATGTCCAAAGCCGGAATGAATTTGAGATCTTGCAAACAGTTACAACAAGAAGCCGGCAGACTCATATTAGATACCGACGATGTCACCAAAGTCCTAGGTCTACGTTGGGAGCCGTCAACAGATGAAGTGACCCATGTGAAGAGAGATATCCCTGTTTCTTCTCATGCAACAAACAGAGTGATAATGAAATATTCATCTCAGATATACGTCCCCCTTGGAATACTGTGCCCAGTTTCCGTCCGAGCCAAACTTCTGTTATAAGACATTTGGGAGAAAATGTACGAGTGGGATGTACCACTTCCAGAAGATATTCAACAGTCATGGTCAAGCTTAGCAAAAGACTTGGACACGGTTGCAACATTTAAATTCCAGAGAAGATATTTTCACGAAAAGCCGAAACCGGAGGTGACAATCGGACAACCTTGCACATCTTCGTAGATGCAAACATTACATCGTACGGTGCAACGGCGTTCATCTGTAACGGAAAAGATTCAACTCTGATGATGGCGTAGAATCGCGTGGGCGTGGCACCGCTCAAACCCTTAACTTTGCCCAAACTTGAACTAATGGCGGCGCTGATTGGCGC